GCTTGGTCTGTCAGCTGCTCCGGAGAGCGCGTTGTGGAGTCGATGCGAAAGATGCTGTCGTTGAAGAAGCGGTAGGCCACCCAGTGAGCGTTGTCCCGGTTCTGTACGAGGCCCACGGCTGCTTCCAGTTCGTGCTTGGTGGTGACAGGCTGTAGCACCATCTCCCATCGAATGCGGTTGAAGGCAGCTAGGGCTTTGGATTGAATGACTTGGGCCAGAACCTCGGAGGAGTAGTAGCCGTCTGCGGCCATGTGGTCCTGGGCGACTTCACCTCGCTCCTCTCCGCCCTCCTGGAGAAGGATTTGCACGGCTTCCTTCATGTCGGTTTCGGTGAAGACGGCCCCACCCAAGGCGTTATTCAAGGCATGCATGCCGCAGAGAGCACGATCCTGGCGCTCGAAATATGGGAGGTTGCTTTGCGGGGACAGCAGCGGGGCTGCGGGCTTATTGCTCGTCCGTGCAAGCTTGGCTGATGGAGCGTTTGGCGCCGAATCGGCTGCTGGCCTTTTGTCGGGGACACCGAGGAGCAGGATTCTGCTTTTGGCGCTGGATCTGCTCTTGGCTTTGGCAACGCTCTTGGTGCGGCCTTTGCACCCTCCCTTGCCCTTGCTTTTCGCCTTCGCGCTGCCCTTAGCTTTTGCTTTGAGTTTGGACGGGCACTTCTGCTTGTGTTCCTTGATGGCAAGTTTGGTGTTTGGGAGTTCTTGTCCGCACTGTCGGCAGCACCAAGGAAGTTCACCGTCTGCATGCTCCTCTTCTTCCTTACGTTTCATCAGCTGAGCCCAATCTGGAGCGCCCATCTCGGCAAGCTTGGCCTCATAGAAGTCCTTGCTCTGCGGCGGCTGGAAGAGTTGCTTCCACAGTTGGGTTCCGTCCCGCTCGGCTTGCTGGGCCTTCAGTTGGGTGAGTGCCCATTCCGCCTTTGAGTTGAATCGCAGGGACTTGGGATTGAAGAATTCCAGGGTGCAAAGGGCTTGCTCGGGGCAGCGGCTCAGAGCCACGTACGCTTGCCCCTCCTGCTTGCAGGTGGCATCGAGGCGGGAGTGGGCGCCATCCTGCAACGTGGCCGCCTGACTTTTGTGAATGGTGGTGGCCTTCGCTAGCACCAAGGGAAATTGCAACCTTGAGGCCTTGCTGCCTTCCATGTCCAGATAGGTGGCGGACCGTCGCGAGATGGCAACGAAGCTGGTTTCGTTCTCTGCGCGCCACTTGGCACCAGCCTTCTTCTCGAATTCGATCCACACCTTTTCGATCTCTCCAGTGGTTTCGTCTGCATCAATGTGCTCAACAAAGCCGCAGGCTCCGTTGACCAGGCCGTCTTGCGTGTCGAGGTTGTACCTGAGCATCACGCGGACACCGACAGCAAGGTGCAGCAAGGTTTCCAAGCCAGCCGTGTTCTCTGGATCAGCCCACACCACTTCGGGAGACAGCGGCGCACCAGTTTTGACATTCGTGTCTAGGGCAGGACTTTGGTAGAGCTTGACGCCGGTCCTTTTGACATGCTCCTCGATGTAGTGGCGATTCTTCTCCGCCACGGCTTTGCGCGTCGGGTACAGACACACGGCCTTTGGAGAAGGCCTGCTGTCGTTCTTGTTCAGAACCATGCCTTGCAGCTCCTGAATGTCCTCTTCCGTCCACGTGCCGACACGAACTCGTGCGAGAAGAGCTGCCCACGTCGGGTCCTTTGCTGCACGCTGATTGCCTTCTAGCTCGCAAAGCTGAAGCAGTGTCCACAGTGAGCTGGCAAAGGCCGGCAGCCCGCCCGGCGGTGGCAGCTGATAGAGGTCTCCAGAGAACACGACATGCACTCCTCCGAAGGGAACGTGCGGCATGTTCTTAGCCAACCGCAGATGCTGATCCAGGCGCTCCAACATAAAGGACGATATGAAGCCCATCTCGTCCACGAAGAGGGCCGCCACCAGCTTCCAGATGCTTCGCAGTGTGGCCAGTATGGGGCCATTTGGTAGCGGCACGTCGCAGGCCCTTCCGTAGCTCTGGTTCACGACGGGAAGCAAGCAGCAAGTGTGGAGAGTGACGCCGTTGATGTTCCATGCTGCCACCCCTGTGGGCGCAGCAATGATGGTTCCCACTCCCGCCTCCCGAAGCATGTGGGCTGCTGCGCGCACCACCACGGACTTCCCACAGCCGCCCGGTCCGTGGAGGAGCATGTGGAGGCGGTCAGTATTGTTGGTGTCATTGGTGTTGCGGCGGGCCCACACCGTCTCGAAGATGTATTCCATGGCTCTTCGTTGATGCTGTGTTTCTGGGCTGGGGTTCTCCGCAGCAGTGAGCATGTTGAAGGATTCCTCGCCACCTTCCACCGGCGCAAAGGCATCTCCAGGTGCTCCTGTCGGAACATGGTCTGGAGCCGCAAATTCGATGTCGTCCCCGTGACGTGCCTTCAGTGCCTCTAAAATCTGGATGGAGTCCTCGTAGTTGTCCTGCGCGATCTTGCTGTTGGCCCACCCATCTCGCAAGTGTGCAGGGTGCATCCTCGCCTTCATGTACATGACAGCCTGGACGGCCTGCAGCTTGCGAGCGGCGTTCACTGTCCCGTCCATTTGCGGGAAGCATTTCGACCGCAGGAAATCTGGGTACCCATCCACGTCGCGGGCGATGCGCTGGAAGGCTGCTGCGTGGCTACCTTTGTCCTCTTCTTGCAGCCAGTCGCCTGGTTCCATCCAAACGGAGTAGAGCAGCAGCCTGGAGAACCAGAAGGCCTCCGGTTCCTGGTCAGGGCTGAAATTCCGGTATCCGACGATGGCCGGACGCTTTCTGAGCTGAGGGAATTCCACGCCGATGAACTTGAAAGCTGCGCAGAAATCCAAGAAGTTCATGTTCAGGAGGCGGCATGTTGCAGGCTTGCCTCCTTCCACAGGCAACTCCACTTCGATGTTGCCGAAAGCGACTTGCATCTCCCTGTACCAGCGCTGCGCAGCCGGCATGTGTCCATCCCTGTCGAGCTTGCTGCTGCGGTAGCTCTCCGGCTGTTGTAGCGCCAGGCTCTCTTCGTGCTGGGGCACGGACAACGTCCAGGTATCGGGTGGTCCGACTTGAACCCAAACGTGCTCCCTGGAGAACTCAACGACGGGAAAGCCTAGCAGCAAGTGGCAGGCCTCGAAGGTGGACGTGGTCCGGCCCTGCAGCGCTGCGTGCGCGGCTTTGTACACCTGCTGGCTGCCCAAGCTGGTGCCACCATGATCATTGCGGCTGGAGGCGAGGCTGGCCAGTATACTCTCCATGCGCCGCTGGGCCGCGAGATCTTGTTCCGATTTAAAGGAGTAGCCCAGGATGTAACGACTGGCACTGGTCAGTTCGCATATGACTTGGAGGTCCATGCTGGCACGCCACCGTCGCAGGATCTTGATGTTGTATTGCCCGAACATGTTGTCCCCCTGGGCCCGCCTGACCACGAGGCTGCTTTTCCAGCGGCTGTTGGCATACTTCTCCTGGGAGGTGCGGCGTCGAGTTCGCTCTTCGATTTCATTGTGTGGAAAGCCAAACCTGCAAGAGCCATACGTCTTGATGCCGCAATATTCACTGTGCTTGTGCCGCACTAGCTCCGCCAGCTGGGCATTTAGCTCCTTGTTGCGGGGTGAAACTTTCGTGGATTTGCGCCAGCTTTCTGGTGACTTCGTGCAGATGTACTTGTCACTCCAGTCTTCTGCGCAAGTGGGCGTGAAAGACTCCATGGCCTCTTCATCCGACCAATCCGGAACTATCGCTTCTGCTTCCGCTGTCTTCTCAGCGTCTCTGGAGCTGACTGCGCTTGTTCGTCGTGGCCATTCCACTGCCCAAAGCAGAATGTGAGCGTGAGGGTAGCCCCTCTTCTGCCACTCGATGCGGATGATGTAGTCTCGGATCTTGAATGGTGGGCGCTCCTTGCGAACGCCGCGGTGTCGGCCCGCTGAATCTCTCGTTGGCGCTTGCGCAAAGTCTTCAGGCTCTTTGCGGTGGCCGCCCTCCGGCTCGTCCTGCTCGTCTGCTTCCTGCTCCAGATGGGACTCTGTGTCATGCTCGGCCTCCAGCCATGCCATGAGTTGGTTGAGCTGGTGCATGAACTGTCGTGCCACGATCGCCGGCTGTTGGTTGCACAGCTGGTTTGGCGACAGATCGTCCCACTTGAATTGCTCGTCAGACTGGTAGCAGCGCAGGATTTCAGCAGCTTGACGCTCCAGCTCTTCCGGAGGCGTTTCAGGACGCAGCCGCAGTAGCCGCCCTGTGATGGCCGCAACAAGGATGTCGGGCTGCCGAGCATGGCAAGTGAGGGTCATGAAGAAGTTGGGTGTTCCGAGCTGCTCGTACATGCTGAGCGCGACGCCCTTCTTTGCGTAGATGTAGGGCTGAGTACCGGGGATGTCCCTGAGGGCTGTGTAGACCTGGTTGTTGCCACGTTCGTACATCGTCTTTCTGCTTGGAGCCTGCTGGCCGCTGATCCGCACATTGATGTTGCCTGAAAGGCGCTTCTTGGTTTGCGTCTCCAGGAGCCACATGGTGTAGGCTGGGGATGCCTCGAAGCGTGGATCCTGGCTCAGCAAGCGCTTGCGTGCATACTGTGAGAAGCTTGGGTACATGCTTTGCCATCCGCCTGTTCCCGTGGGAAACAAGTGCGGGAAGAGCTTGACATCCATGTCGTCGGTGAGCGCCGCGCAACCTCGGGCCTTTTGTAATTGCCTTGTCTCGGCTCCAGGGATCTTCAACTCTTTGGGCAAAAGGTATGTCATCTCGAGATCTTCTTCCTTCTCTCGCAGGATACCGTGACTTTGGCTTCCCAAGGCCGAGGAGTGTGAGCCACCGGACTCCCCCGTTTGGCGCCCTTGGGAAGCTGTTTGCTGACTCAAACGCTCGTCGACCGCATCAGGCTGCGCCAATTGGACATCCAGGATGGTGGCCATTTTGGCTATGGCTCTGTCCACGGCTGGATTGGCTTTGTATAAGCGGTGTTGGGCCTTCAGTTCCTTCAAAGCTTCGTGCAAGCAATCCAGACGGGCTGGAGAAGCAGTCAAGCCTTGAACTCCTTGGACGAAGACTGTGCCATCTTCCTCCAGCATGGCTCCCTCCAATACGTCACAGATGAAAGGGTCCTCCATGAGTACGGCGTACATGCGGCCCCACTGTGCGCTGGGGCCACCTGACGGGAGTTTGTCGATGAGGACTTGCGAGATCCGAGCCATGGCGATCAGGTGCTGCTCGATGGGCCTCAGTATCTGGAGTGCCTCTGGCGCAGTTGGCACATCTGGCAGGATGATCTTCGTAGAATCTTCGCGGCACCTTTTGCAAAGCATCTGCTTGGTTCCTTTGGCCGGGCAGACGTGCTTTGCAGGGGTAAGGGTCCGACACTTCTCGCAAACACGCGACAGCCCGAATCTGCCCCAACTACGCACGAATGCAAGGTAGTGAGCATCCACTTGTTCAGGCGTCAGCTCATCTTCATCAGGAAACGGGTACCCCTGCTTCTGGATCTCAGTTGCAATGGGCTTCGGACCACGGCTTGCAAACCCGTCCTCAGCACGTTCGGCTTGCAGCTCACGCCTCTGCGCTTGTCGGCTGACCCCTTGAGGGGGCAAGGGCCCGCGACTTGCAAACCCGTGCTCAGCACGTTCGGCTTGCAGCTGAAGCCTCTGTGCTTCGCGGTTGTCCGCCTCTGGTTTTGGCCCCCGGCTTGCAAACCCATGCTCAGCACGTTCGGCTTGCAGCTGAAGCCTCTGCGCTTGTCGGCTGACCCCTTGAGGGGGCAAAGGCCCGCGGCTGCCACCTCCCTTTGCCACCCGTTCCTGTTGCCGAGCTTTTCGCTTAGCGCTTTCTTCTGCCTGACGCTCTTCTTTCTCGGCTTGGCGGCAGCGTGGATCGCTGCACCACCCCGGTCCCCGACCGCTCCTGTTTCCCACACCGCATCGCTGGCAAGGCGCCATGGCAAATGTTCAGTTCTATCTGCAACTCAGGCTGTGTCGGAAAAGCTGCGATGGGTTTGTGCACCGGAGACTGTGAAATACAGCGCATGTCAGAAGGCGTTCTCTAGCACGTGCAACAGCTTGTCTGTCTTTCCTTGCCAGTCCACTTTACTTTTCTTGCTCCTGTGTAACAGGCGCATCTGTGGTGACTTGGTTTGCTCTCAAAAGAGATGTACAGAGCGGAGACGAACTTACTAGTTCACGCCAGGTGCCACGCAGCACATGGTATGTCTTCATGGCTGCTGGGTGTCCTGCGCTGTGACGATGTCCCACAAGTCATCGGAGAGGACCAATGTGTCCAATGGGGTTGGCTCCCCATCTAAGACCGTGCACACTTCTTGGTTCCTGCTCTGCAGACGGCCTTGGGCTGCCGCTGCTATGGTAGCGGATGTAGGAAGCTGTTCCATCAGTTCCATCTCCAGCGAATGGCTTGACACGCTGGCGATTCGCAGCACCTCCTCACCGGCCACCGTGGTGAACACGACGTCGACGGTATTTTGATCCACGGGCATCAAACTGCAAGTAATAACCAAAGGCGAGGGCACTTCTCGGACATAGACCTTCCCTGCTGGAAGATTGATCCAATTGTCAAAGTGCAGTTCTTCCGCTTCGAAGACAGCAACATGAGGTGCTTCTGGATGCCATTGGGTAAATCGGCATTCCAGCCTATTCATGCCTCTGACGCAAAAGGCAGGCATATACCATCCAGGGGCTGTCTCTGTGGCAAGCGCAGCGCCACTCAAGCCAATCAGCGACCAGGCGCCAGGACCGCCATCCAAACACCGGCTCCATTCAAGACGGCAACCATCCATCTTGCAGGTTTCGATCACTGGCAGAAAGTGCGGCTTGTGTTCTATCTGAGCCAAGACTGCTGCGAATGCCTTGCTTGCAAGAATGTGCGACTTTCTTCTCTCTCACGCGCAGCTTCCTCAGCTTCGTGCAGTTCTTTTTCAACCCAGTCCCTATCGTCGAACCCGTCCTCACCGTCCGCCTGTTCAAAACCGCGAATGGGGCGGTCTGTGCCCTGGAAGTCCTCGTCCATGTCTTCGGACATCGTGGCACCAGTCGACCTGAGAAGCAAGGGTGTCGGCTAGATTAGGACATGGCCGTCGCACCAGTCGACCTGAGGACAAAGGCCAGTAGTCTTCTTTCATTAGAAGTCGAACTACATTTCCCGCAGAAAAATGGTTGATAATGGGGTCCGGGAAAAGGGTGCAGCTAGGGGCGGGGGGCAAAGCAGTTGAATTATTTGGGTGGGTTTTCCTGGTTCCTGGCAACCTGCATAAAGAGTCGAACGTTCCAGCAATCCTCAGAGCTTCGGAATAAGTCACACTGGGTTCCTGGCTCCTTTCAGGCCTCATAATGAGTCGAACTGAGTTCTCTGTGCGTGGCAACGTGCAGAAGACTTGTCTAGCAACTCTCAGAGTGACCAGTGGGTCTTGCGCGTGTTCAATATAAGTCGAACTGGGCTCCCGGCTGTTTGTTAATTGTGCAACAATTCAAACTGATCTTCTGGCGTTCTGGTTCTGGGAACCTTCGTAACAAGTCGAACGAGGCTGCGTCTCTTGAAAGTATATAGTCATTATACGTAATTAGAATAGGGTGTGTCTTCTTTCATTAGAAATCGAACTGCATTTCCCGCAGAGAAACGGTTGTTAAGGAGGTCCGGGAAGGAGGTGCAGCTAGGGGTGGGGGGCAAAGCGGTTGAACAAAGCTTCGGAATAAGTCACGCTGGGTTCCTTGCTCCTTTCAGGCCTCATAATGAGTCGAACTGAGTTCTCTGTGCGTGGCAGTGGGTCTTGCGCGTGTTCAATACAAGTCGAACTGGGCTCCCGGCTGTGTGTTAATTCTGCGACAAGTCAAATGGATCTTCTGGCTCCTGGATTCATCACGATAGATCGAACATGCAACCCTCTTTAAGTCGAACCAACCATTTTGGACAGGCAAAAAGGCCAGCGGGGGTGTGGGGGGCCCCGGAAGGGTGGGGAGGGGGGAGAAGGGGGGGTGGTGGGGCGCGGTGGGAACCCTCATTTTAAGTTGAGCCAATAATTCGTGAAGAGGCGGGGGAGGGGGGGTGAGGTGGGGGGGGAGGGGGGGGGCAGCGGGGGCGCGGTGGCCTTTCCTTAAGTCAAGCCAGCTGGAACCAACAATTTCGGGAAAAACGGCTGAGGGACGGGGGGGGGGAGGGGGAGGGGGGCTAGGGGGGGGGGGGGGGGGTGCCCCTCATTTTAAGTCGAACCAACTGGGCTCCCGGCTGTGTGTTGGTTCTGCGGCTCTCGCTCCTGCTTCATCACGATAGATCGAACATGCAGGGGTGGGGGGGGGGACCCTGGAAGGGTGCGCGGTGGGGTCTTGTAACCCTCATTTAAGTCGAACCAACAATTTCGGGCAAAACGGGTGAGGGGGGGGGGACGGGGGGGGGGAGGGGGGGGGGGAGGTGGGGGGGGTGGTGGAGGGGGGCGGGGAGGGGGCGGGGGAGGGGGGGTGTGGTGGGCCTCATTTAAGTCGAACCACAAAATTGGTGGCTGGGTGGGGGGGGTTCCTGGCAACCTGCATAAAGAGTCGAACGTTCCAGCAATCCTCAGAGCTTCGGAATAAGTCACACTGGGTTCCTGGCTCCTTTCAGGCCTCATAATGAGTCGAACTGAGTTCTCTGTGCGTGGCAACGTGCAGAAGACTTGTCTAGCAACTCTCAGAGTGACCAGTGGGTCTTGCGCGTGTTCAATATAAGTCGAACTGGGCTCCCGGCTGTTTGTTAATTGTGCAACAATTCAAACTGATCTTCTGGCGTTCTGGTTCTGGGAACCTTCGTAACAAGTCGAACGAGGCTGCGTCTCTTGAAAGTATATAGTCATTATACGTAATTAGAATAGGGTGTGTCTTCTTTCATTAGAAATCGAACTGCATTTCCCGCAGAGAAACGGTTGTTAAGGAGGTCCGGGAAGGAGGTGCAGCTAGGGGTGGGGGGCAAAGCGGTTGAACAGAGCTTCGGAATAAGTCACGCTGGGTTCCTTGCTCCTTTCAGGCCTCATAATGAGTCGAACTGAGTTCTCTGTGCGTGGCAGTGGGTCTTGCGCGTGTTCAATACAAGTCGAACTGGGCTCCCGGCTGTGTGTTAATTCTGCGACAAGTCAAATGGATCTTCTGGCTCCTGGATTCATCACGATAGATCGAACATGCAACCCTCTTTAAGTCGAACCAACCATTTTGGACAGGCAAAAAGGCCAGTGGGGGTGTGGGGGGCCCCGGAAGGGTGGGGAGGGGGGAGAAGGGGGGGGTGGTGGGGCGTGGTGGGAACCCTCATTTTAAGTTGAACCAATAATTCGTGAAGAGGCGGGGGAGGGGGGGTGAGGTGGGGGGAGGGGGGGGGCAGCGGGGGCGCGGTGGCCTAGTCGAACCACAAATTGGTGTGGGGGGGAGGGAGGGGGGGGGGGAGGGGTGGAGGGGGGAGGAGGGGGGCGGAGGGAGGGGGAAGGAAGGCGGGTGGGGGGGGCGGGTGGGGGGGGGTGGGGGGGGTTGGGGTGGGGGGGGGGGTGGGGGGGGGGTGGGGGGGGGTGCGGGGGGGGGGGGGGGGTGGGGGGGTGGGGGGGGGGTGGGCGGGCTGGGGGGGTGGGGGGGTGGGGGGCAGGAGGGGGCGGGAGGGTTTTTGTTGGTTCGGGCAGTTTTTTTAGGTTGTTTGGGCGTTTCTCCAAAGCAAAGGAAAGTGATAAGGTTGCTCTAGTTGCTGTTTGAGGGTCTGGACTGGGCTTGTCGGCACATGTCTCCAGCAATGATTGTTGCTCTCTAGAAAATGCTCAGTGATAAGGCTGCTCTAATTGCTGTTTGAGGGTCTGGACTGGGCTTGTGGGGACTCCTAGCCAGCAGCGGGGACATGTTGCCAGCCATGGTTGTTGCTCTCTCAAAAATGCTCAGTGATAAGGCTGCTCTAGTTGCTGCTTGAGGGTCTGGGCTGGGCTTGTGGTGATTCCCAGCCACCAGCTGGCACATGTCTCCGGCAATTGCTCTCTAGAAAATGCTCAGTGATAAGGCTGCTCTAGTTGCTGTTTGAGGGTCTGGTGGTGATTCCGAGCCATCCCAGCCATGGTTGTTGTTGCTTTCTAGAAAAAATGAACCAGAATAGGGATTTCCAAGGGCAATTTTGCAAATACGTTGAATTTACTTAAACCTCTTTGTGTGCCAGTCAAGTATGTTGAGTGCGCAAAAATTTGCCCAGTGGAAAGGGCGTCAGTTCACTTCCAGGTGATGGTACAGACTATTTGCGAGCGATTCGTTATGCAACACATACAATTTCTATTTATCCTGTCCTTGAGGGTTTAGGGTTTAGGGTTTAGGGTTTAGGGTTTAGGGTTTAGGGTTTAGGGTTTAGGGTTTAGGGTTTAGGGTTTAGGGTTTAGGGTTTAGGGTTTAGGGTTTAGGGTTTAGGGTTTATAGAAATTGTATAGGGTTTGTGTCCGGAGTTTTGACGGGTTTTGACGGGGTTTTGACCGGTTTTTTCTTTTGCTTTTGAACAAGATTTTGGTTTTGACGGCTGGGGCTGCTGGGGCTGGGGCTGGGCTGGGTCCCAGCCCCAGGTTGGGGGGGGCTGGGCTGAGGGTTGGGGCTGGGGAGGGGCTGGGGGCTGGGGCTGGGGCTGGGGCTGGGGGGCTGGGGGGCTGGGGGGCTGGGGGGCTGGGGGGCTGGGGCTGGGGCTGGGGCTGGGGCTGCTGAGCCTGCTGCGGTTGGGCTGGGGCTGGGGCTGGGGCTGGGGCTGGGGCTGGGGCTGGGCTGGTGGGGCTGCGCGGCTGGGCTGCGGGGCTGAGGGCTGGGGTGATTGCACGAGCTGCTCGAACGGAATTCGGGTCCAGGGTAAAGACCGGTTTTGACCGGGTTTTTGACCGGTTTTTTCTTTTGCTTTTGAACCAGGCTTGGGGGAGAGTGGGGGAGTGGGGGGGAGTGGGGGAGTGGGGGAGGGGGGGGAGGGG